ACCTGTGATACTTTTTTCAGGATTCTTTGAATAAAACGTTAAAAAGAAGAGCATTTATTTCAAATAGAAATCTTTTCTAACAATATACACTACAGTTCAAAAGTTTGGGGTCAGTGAATTTTAATTATTTCTTTTTTTGAAAGAAATTAAACATTTATTCAGCAAGGATGTGTTCAATTGTTAAGAAGTGATAGCAAAGATTTATATTGTTAGAAGTTTTTAACTTTCTATTCATCAAAGAATCCTGAAAAAAGTATCGCAGTTTCCAAAAAAAATATGTTGCCAACATTGATAATTCTAATAATAAATCAGCATATTAGAATGATTTCTTAAGGATCATCTGACACTGAAGACTGGAGTTATGATGCTGAAAATTCAGCTTTGCATCACAGGAATAAATGATATTTGAAAGGATATTTATTTTTTGTGTGTGACCAATAAGCAACAGTTTCCTCTCAGGTGTTGTCTGTAGCGTGCTGTGAATGAAATGACTCGTGAAAGCTTGTTATCTGAGAGCGGAAAGCTGAAGCGACGTTGTCCTGCTCTGTTTCTGATGTGTAACCAGGACCCTCGGTACCTCTGGACCCCATTTCCTGGTCCAACTCCTCCTCCGAGATCATTCTCAAGTGGAAACTGCCCTCCGACCCCAACGGCAACATCACTCACTACTTCGTCTACTGCCAGAAGCAGGAAGAGGATATCACGTACTACAAGTTCGACTACTGCCAGCAAGGTGCTGATCAATGAAAGCTCCTTTAGCAACATAACTGCATAACTGCTTATTAAGTGTACTTCCTCTTTCTCTCTGTTCAGGGATGAAGGTGCCGTCCCATACGCCGACACACCACGACATCAAAGAAGACCAGAAGTGGAACCAAACGGACGTGTCCGACCAGAAGGGCCGCTGCTGTGCCTGTCCTAAAACAGAGACGCAGCTGAAGAAAGAGGCCGAAGAGACTGAGTTCCGCAAGACCTTTGAGAACTACCTCCATAATGAAGTGTTTGAACCCAGGTACACAATGCTTGTGGGATGACAAATGTCATATGACACACCAGAAAACTGATAAATGATAGATGATAAATAATAAAAAGCTGATAAGAATTTAATGTTTTATTTTATATTTTAATATGATAGTATTGTGCTTTTTTTATTGTTTTTTATTTATTTATATATTTGCTTTTTTTTTTTTTTTTCAGTTCATTTTAGTTACATTTTTAGTAATTTTATTATGTCCTTTTGTTGTTTTTATGTTTCTTTTTTTATTTTTATTACTCCTTAGGTTTAATTTATTTCAGTTTAGTTTTTATTTCAATAGAATTAGTTATAAATATCTCCAGTCAATAGATGGCTCTAGTGTTAAATGGGTTCTTATTGAGCTTTTGAACATTAAGGGTCTATAGCACCATCTTCTGGTTAATTGGTTAATTGCTTTGCATGGGCCACATTGCAGCTTGACCTGTCTAAGATTGTTTATATTTATATTTTATTCATATTTGTTATATTTATGATTTAGCTTTAGTTCGGTATGAGTTTTTATTTATATAATAATTTATACATATGTATTATAGTAAATGGAAAAAAGCGAAATAAGTATAAAAACAATAGGTGTAATTTAAGTAAAATTCTGCAAATAAAATGCGGCATCTTTATCCAATTAATCAAAGAAACAATCAGATGACAAAATGAATTATCAAAGCACTGGATTCAAACATATAACATTTACATGATGTTTTCAATTAATGTTTTATAGTCTTCAATTTTACATTAAAATATAAAAATATAATCTTGGAAATAAAATGCATAACATATTTACATTAATTATTTTAGTTCATTTTTACAGTCTTCAGTTTTACATTAAAATATATATATTTTTTAAACCTTGGAATGTACAACGTTTAAATGATTTTTGTGTATATATATATATATATATATATATATATATATATATATATATATACAGTGGTGTGAAAAAGTGTTGGCCCCCTTCCTGATTTATTTTTTTGCATGTTTGTCACACTTTAATGTTTCAGATCATCAAACAAATTTAAATATTAGTCAAAGATAACACAA